TTTAAATATATCAAAATAAATCTCAATTAAACTACACGACTTACAATTATTATTAAATGGTATTGTATTGCTATAACACCAACTGAAGCACAACTATATACACCACTTAAAAACCAAAGGCACAAGAGGTAAAATGCTTAGTAGTGTATACAAATAATAAAAATTTAATAACATATATTGTTAATATATTTCAAATTATATGTGTGTATATGTTTCGCTACACCATGAAATATTTCATGAAGTTTTATTCCTTGCAAGTAGCAGAACATCACTGAAACACTTATCAACACTGCAATGAAAAGATATGTCAGGGCTGAAGAGGTGACTCAATAAGTAAAATGACTGCAGCCAAACAAGAAGATCTTAACTGGAAACCCAGAACCCATGAAAACCAGCTGTGGTATCATATTTGTACTCAGAGTGCTAGAGAGGTGGTGGTAGGCAGATCCCTGGGGCTCTCTAGATGTCCTAGCTGGATTGGTGACCCTCAAGCTCCTGATTAAATGGGACACTGAGTGGATCATAGGGCAAGCATTGTGTCTCAAAATGAAAGTACATACCTGAGCTTGATCTCTGACCTCCACATGCATGAACACTGCACATGTACACACACATGCAAAAACAAAAAAATCAGGTGTCTATTATTGTTTAAACAAAAATCTATCATCCAAACCAGCATCTCTTCATCCCTAATTCTAGTAAGAAAAGTTATCCTTCTACTTCTCTACTCCATTCTAGAAAAATGTGGACTCCTTAGTGTAGTTTGTGTTGGGCTTCTGCCTTACACAATCCTGAGAATGATCTCCTCCTCCCTTTCCTTACTGCTACTCTTCTCTGGATTCAGAAAAAGATGAGGATGCTCTGTAAGTACAGTTCATGTCTATAGGACAGAACTCAGACTCTTCATTTAATGTGGTATTAAATATTACCCTATAGGACTAAAGCTCTTGGCTGTATTTTATATTTTGGGGGTATCGAACTCATTCATTCCTGTATTCTTTCCTCAATATACCCACAATCTCCTAGAGGGCAGAAATTCTTGTGACAAAACAACTGTGCTCCCTCTACGATCACAGCACCATGCCAGGCAGGTAATGAATTTCCCATAAAAGCAAACGTGCTGTGTCTTGAAAAGAAGCAATCAAGCAACCTCCTTTGCAACACATTGATTTACAAATTACAGAGCAGCAGCAACAGGAAACTGAAAGTACCTGCCATAATTAATTGAAACCTAAATGCGGTGAGTAATAAAATATTGTGCCTATCATTTTATCTGCCATCTAATTAACTTATAAACATCTATGATGAAAACACATTGGCAATAGTTAGGTATGTCTTCTCATTGATGCCTTTCTGATTTCCCTGAGGTGTTTCTTCACAGCTTTCCTTTCTCCTTTTTCTGCAGTGGCTCTAGAAGGTATTAATACTTTTATCAGTAAGAAATTAGCAAAACATAGCTAATCTGTTATTCCACTAATAGATAACCCACTTCATTAAATTGATACACACTTTAATCTATGAGTTCTCAAAGTTTTTAAAATCTTTTTAAACAAGATTTTGAATTTGAATTCCTAATCCATCATTTATATAATCTATTCACATTATTCACTTGCCAAATCCCTAAATTTCTTCATCTGGAAAATTAAAAAGTAATGAATACTACTTCAAAAGGCCATGATAATAAATAAATGGATAAAAACGTACAACACTCTTAACAGTATCTTACGTTTCATAAGCATAAACACAGTTGCCATTTTGTTGCTGTCAATATGTTTTGTATATAATATGAGGGAAGTATGCATAGATATATAATGTCTTATTGTATTATAGAAAGCATACTCTATTCTACTATGTCGCTTAAGACCAAGAAGTAGAAACTTTATGTACCTCATACAAATTATTTTAATTACCCAATTTAGAGATGTTAAAATTAATCATGCTGTGTACACTGTTGATTCATGTTGACTTAAAATGATAAAGAAATCTTGCTTATCAAAGATAATAAATTAGCATCCTAAGCCAACAAGAAGCACTAGAATTCCTCTCAAGGAACTCTCGCATTAGCTACTTAGGGTGAAAACTCAAACCCTTAGATACAAGCTAGCATGAGGTGAGCCACAGTCAATGAAGTTAAGCTGTTCAAAATTATAAATGAAACAGAACCTAAAAATTCAAAAATAACATATTGAGAAGTAAAGCACAGCAAAATGGCTTTTCATAAAAAGAAGATCCAAGCCAGCTATAGTGGCTTGGGCCTGCAACCCCAGGACTTGGGATGCTGAGGAAGAGGATTATTGAGTTTGGGGACTCTCTGGGTTACATTGTGTGTTCTAGGTCTGCTTGAACTCTCAGAGAGTAGGGGGAGGAAAAGGCCTTCTGCTTCTGCATTATCTTCAACCCTCTTATGCCCAAATCAGCATGCTGCTACCCCTTACTCACTCTCTTCTAGGCATGTTAGCCTCTTTGCTATTTTTCAAACACAACATTAAGATGTAAATTTAAACTCTAGGAACTTTGTTCCCTTTAATAACAACTCATGTCCCATGCTTTCCACTGGGCTCACTTTTTCATTCTCTTGAGTTGCTATCTAAACTTTTGCAAATAAATACTCCCATGTGAAAAACTATAACTAATTAATTAATTGTTTAGAAGCCTCAGTCTCTCACAATGCTACATCCAGCCTGCACATGCTTCCTAACCCTCTATTCTAGTTATTTATGAATATTGATTGATTGATTGATTGATTGATTGATTTAAACCAGGTCTCATAAAACAGCCCAGCTGACCTCAAACTTGTCATCCTCCTGCTTCAGTCTCTTTAGTGCTAGGATCACCAATGGGTGTCATTGTACCTAGCAGGTCAGCTCTTTAAATGATTATGTGTTACTAACTGGCTTACTGTCTGTCTCCACCTGGTAGGATGAAATCAGAGAGAACATATTTTCCCTATTTTAATCACTATACAATATTCATCATATGAAAAATGGCTATGACAGGCTCTTACTAAATGCTTACAGAATGTATGAGAGAAGTAAAGCAGGGTAGAATGAGCCTTGGAAACAATTTTTTGATAAATGTGAAGGGTCAAAGTAGTCTCAGTTAAAATCTAGAATCTATCTGCAGGCATCATTAACAAAGGCTAAGCTAATGAATATAAAATTTATCTAAAGTATAGTCAATAACATATGATGGAAGGTGAGGATTTGTCAGAAATGATTCTATGACTAGGGACTTTTATATAAGATGTATTTAGAGGGCATACTCACAAATGCATTGGCATACACATCTACAGACCTACGGAATAAGTAGACCTTTACAAGAAATTTCATAAAGCACCCAGAACTGTGGTGACTCCCCAAGATATATAAAAAGGAGTGTGCTGAGGGAAGTCAAATCATACAATTATATACACCATAAGGAAGCTTAACAAGTAATAGTAACGGTGAATAAAGCTTTTTTCTTCAGCAGATGAAAGTCTGCATGGTTCAATTGTGATTGAAAGAGAGAGAGCAAGAATGGATCCTGCTGCAAGCTGACAGTTACATGGGACCCCCTGAAGTTATAAATTGAGTTCCTCTTCTAATCACTGGTCTGAAGAGGACAGAGAAAGATCCACATTTTACTTATCTTGCTGAACCTGCAACATAAGCACTCGTGAATTTTACATTAGGGTCAAGCTGGGAAGTTCCCAGTTACCTGGTATAGATAACAGCACCACCTCCCATGCAAATAAGGTCAGGCAGTCTTTTCTGCCTTGAATGACTACCAGGGAGATTCCAGTGAAACAGAATCTAAAAAGAAAGTAGATGTAAAAAGGAAGGAGTATGTGGCCCATTTGAAATAAAACTTTGTCTATAAATGCTGAGTAAATATTTCCAAAAGACCTTACAATTCTGCAATAGAGTTCATTAAAATGGAATGCCATGCCTATAGATGACAATGTCAGCTATTCTAATCTGCTTTCTGAACCACTTGTTGTATGACCAATAAAGCCACACAGCAGGCAGGTACTTTAATGAAACAGGCCCAGTTCTCCAGGGAGGTGAGCCTGTGGTTCAAACTAACATTTTTTGTTCAAATAAACACTTTATTCTTCCCAACAAAAAATGTATCTCATGTGGATTCTGACCAAAAGAAAATACACTTGGGAAAAAATTGACAAGAGAGGAGTGAGTGGGGGAACAAATGACTGTTGTGATGTCACATCTAATAGCAAGTTTTTGAAAAGAGAGAGTAACTTCAGCATTTCTAATGCGTATATGCACCCTTTATAATGTTCTGGAACATTCTAGCTCACTTCCTGCCAAAAGCACAGCCTCATTCAAATTATAATAATATGTTAATGCCTTTATTCACAGGACCAACAATTACTGAACACATTCGCTCTGTAAAAAAGAATACGTACAAGTACATTCCATTGTTATAACTATTTCCATTATTACCAAGTTTCTCTTCTGTCACTTTTTTATTAGCTTAGCTGTGTACTACAAATACAAACTTAAAAAATAATCTAAAGGAAAGCCAATTCATTAAGATCTGACATAGAAAAATTTGCAGAGAGAAAGGCTATCCATGTAGGTGCTGTGTGCAATATTGGCTAGTCCTGAGAGTCATAAAGACTTGCCTGTGTCAATGCTAGGAAACACCTTCAACCCCCCTATATGGAATGTGTTCCAATTGCGTCTATCTGCATGGTCATTGTAGGGATTAACTTGATTTTTGGCAAGTACCCTTCCACAGGAGGTATTTAACAAATTGTAGCTATTTAGGCTATTTTTTTATTCTGACTCACATAATGCCTTCCTTAATTCCCATGAGCACTCACTGGCAAGACTCCAGGACATTAATCTTGTTTTACCTCTTCAGAAGAAATTATTTTTGTGCTCCTCATCTCCAAAAATATAAATCATTGAATTTTTATGCAGCCAGATGCTTCAACTGATGATGAAGAAATGCCACCTTCCAGGAGTCCTTCCAATAAAATAACCAAGAAATCTTACCTAGTTTTGGCAAAGAATAGGGCACTTTAAAGTAGTCTTCATAAAATTCTATTAATCTCTTTGTAATGTGGAGAGCATAGTCCCCGGATCCTCTTCTGATAGCATCGGGTCTTGCATATAATCGGACCTAATTAAAAATATATATAAAAGTTACTTTAGTGTTTTGGTACTCGAGTTTTATTTTCCCTGCACATATGAATATGCACAAATCACTTTGGATAGTATAAAAATTAAACAGGGTTCTTGTTTATATATATCAAAACACACTGTGGAGAAAGAGCCAAATTTAAACAATTGACTTAGCCAAGATGAGCAAGTTACAATTTCCTTACTTCCCAGGATGCCATACAGAAGATTTATACACCTTGCATCAAAATAAATATTCTAAGTTATCACTTACATGTGCTTTCTAGAGATATGAAGGCATGGTGGATTAGTATAATGGGTGCCTGGCTCAGCAAGAAAGAAACCTCATTGTCTGTTATGACATGCTGCATCAAGCTTGGAAGAATTACCAGATTGCAGAAGTGTGTGTGTGTGTGTGTGTGTGTGTGTGTGTGTGTGTGTGTGTGTGTGTACATATATCTTACTTATGCTTCCTTTTTCTCATTTTTGTTCTTTTAAAATCAACAATCTTTATTCCAAATATACAGCATAGAAACAGAAAACTTTCCATGTACATAAGCAACCACCACTCAGGAAGGCTGTCTGCACCTGCTCCTAGATTCAAAACTAGCTGATGTAATTCATATTTTTAAAGACAATCTGGGCATTTACTATTGATTCTTAAAACAAACATCATAAATTATCTAGTCTTTGGCCAAAGTAAAAAGTCCCAAAGTGAGAAACATAAAACTGAACAAAGCTAACAATCGTATGGAGAAGGTTAAAATGAGATTAGTTTTCATAAAGCTATCCAGCATCTTTCCTTCCAAAGACTAAATCTATTTTTCACAGATGTGGTCCCTAATCCTCATATCAATTCAGTGAATAACAAGTATGCATTTCATTCAGCAGTAGAATGGATAGCAGCATGGGAGTTGGATTTCAGATCTACTCTGCCACTAACCAAGCTGGGGGATATTGAACAAATCATTTAACCTCTTTGGGTCTTATTTATAAAGTGATGGTGTTGGCCACAAGCTAGTTGCTGAAGTGCTTTTCAGTTCTAAAACACATTAATCCCAAATCCATTTTACAAATAAGGGAGTCTGTGTCCTTTTTAAATCACTACAAAAAATAAGTGGTTTATTCAATATACCAAAATGGGTATTTATTTTCAACCATAACACGAAAAGGTTGTATTCAGTTATAATGTAAAAATTGACTATACAATTAATGCTGTATTATACCTGCCTAAGAGAAAACAGAGATATGTAATCAGAAAGTATAGGGTTGATACAAGGAAACTACATCCTGACCTCATGTTAGAAAAACATATAATTCAATAAGATATCTGCAAAATTCAATAACAATTGTTTACTAAATTGTAAACTACTTATTCACTGTCAGCAAAATCAAATGACAAATTTGATGGATAGTCATCAACAGTCTTGACTGGAATGGTATAAAACCAAAATCTATCAGGATGAACCATCTACAGACAATAGCAGTAGAATCTGCCACTCTGAGAGGCAGTAATGACCCTGCCATGACATCAACTCTTTACAAATATGCGATGCCTTATCAAAGTTCTAAAAAAAAGTAAGTCCCCAGAGAAGTTGTTGTAGGCATTTGATTTAGAAATAAAGGCTCTCCAAACAGTCTCCTCAGCACATGAGAGAATCAGCGTACTCATGAACTCACAGAAGCCATGGCTATCTGTACAAGATCATACTAGGCAACATTCAAGAATGGAATGGGAAGAGGTTCATGAAGTGCTATCAACAGATGGATTATTAAATAAAAAAGTACATAAAGTTGAACAGATATAGAAATGAGGATGGTTGGGAGACAGGAGTTTAAGGTAAATGTTGGAGTGAATATAATCAAAATACATTATAAGAAATTATCAGGACAAGTAATAAAATATTAATAAATCTTAAAACTAAGTAAATAAATGCATGCTAATTTTACAGGCATTCATAGCAAAAATGGCTTACAAGGCAGTGAGGGAAGCAGGATAAGAGAATAAAAAGCAAGCATGCAAATAGATGGGAACTGAGCACACCCAATGAGAAAGAAGATGCAGCCTGTGCACTGGCCACACCCACCAGAGACCATTGGTAATCATTCATAGTGCATTAATTCAATAACAAGACTGTTTATTTGGTACTTTTTGTACCAGATCCAAGATAAAGCATTTTCATTTCATACTCAGGAGTATATGCTGTCCACCTAACCAAAAGAGCCACAAAAACGTAAGACAAAAAGTAATGCATGTGTAATGACCGTTCTCAAAGACCTTCTTGGTAATTAGGCGAAGTGAGTGACAAACTAGTCATAGGTAATGTATGAACAATTACTACAAAAAGCAGATGGACACTAAGGAAAGATGAGGTTTTCAGAAAGTCCCTGGTAAATGGCAAATTGATACTAAATCTATAGCAGGGAAACTGCAATGTGACATAACAAGGGTCACTGACTTAACATTTAAGTAGCACAGTTGATTTGGGTAAAAACACAATCATGACTGTCAATCAACTCTACCAGTTACTCAAGCACTCTGTAGAGCCAAGCAAGAGAAACACAATTAAATCAATCTGGTTGTCAAGATTTGACAGAAATAATCCAACTTGAATGAGACGACAAAACAGACACATGCTTAACACAATGTCTTCATTTTCTAGTTAGACATTTATTGCATGCCTGCTGTGTTCCAGGCATTGTACTAGGGAATAGAAATAGAACAATAAAACCCCTACTACAAAATGAACATGACATTTATACTTACTGCTCTTAAGAGGTTCGCAGTATGTGGAAAACAAACAAATAAATCACCAACAAAAATACAGCCAAAGAAATAGAGCACTGTACATTCTGTCTTTCCACTCAACAGACACACAAAGCTCGATCCTCTATATCTTCTCCCTCATCTTTTCAAAGACACCATTTCCAAAATATCCACTTTTTAAAAATATTTTTATATTTTTTCCAAAATATCCCCTTTATTTCCATGTCATCAACTTTTGTTTCTAGAGTGCAAACAAATGCTCTGTGTTCTTTCGTATTGTTTTGCTGCTGTTATTTCTTTTCTTTTCTTTTCAAACAAGTGCTCAAAATGTAGCAAAGGCTGGCTCCAGATCCTGATCTTCCTACCCAAGTCTCAAAAGTGATGGGGTTGTATGTATCCACCACCACACCCAACTTCCTATGCTTGTCTATTTTGTTTTGAATTTTTCATCAATCTTCCTGTTAGGCTTGTCACAGAAAGAATGTGTGAGTTAACATACACCCCAGAGCACTTTAAGGAATGATGGCCACACCACTGCCTGAGATACAATAGGCCTAAGCAAGGCATTTGCTATTCACACTCTCTTGCTAGTCTCCTACACACTCAAGAAAAATAAAAAGATTTTGTCCCACAGCTATATTAGAACTGATCTCAACAGGATCAGTAATAATACATGATGGCAAGGCCGACCTCCAATTCAGTGCTCAACACCCACCCCCCAGGAGAATTTACATTTAGTTGATTATATAATGTCCTTGAAACAGTCTCTCCCTATGAACCACTAACTTCTCAATGTTGAGGGGTTCCTTGTTTCAATTCACAGAACACTTTTCTTCTCTTTTTACATTCAGTCCTTTTATTATGACATCTATCTTTGTAGTATTAAATATGACTTCCAAACCGATGACTTACCAAAATAATTTTGGGCTTCCAGAATCAACAGCACACTTGAGATCTCCACTTGGCATTTCAGACTTCAAACTGGAAAAGTAAACTCCTGCTGATCTGTACACACAGCTGCTCCTCCCCAACCTTCCTCATCTCAGTTAATCACTCTTCCATCTAGCTGTCTGGACCCAGTATCTCAGCAGCAGCATCCTCACTTTCCTCTCTCTATCTCACATCCCAGCATATCCTATTGCCCCTGTCTTACGAGATACCCAGAACCCTGCTGTTCTCATCAGCCCACCATGACCACTCTGGTCCCGGCTATTTCTTTCCATTGTTCTCCACACTGTAATCACAATCTTTCTGATGCATGAGAATCAGATCATGTTATTCATCTACCTTCATCATCTTTCCAACCCATTCAGGGTAATCCCAAGGGTTGGTTTGTTTTGTTTTATGAGACCCAAAAATCCTACACACGTGTGATTGTTTTTTAGCTCCCTGACTTTTATTTCTACTGCTTTGCTGCTGCTCATGCCAAAATCAAGGCTTTTGAATTCTCCCTTCATATCTCCACAACTCATCCCTTCACCATCTTCAGATAGCTGCTCAAGTATTTCATACTTTGAGAAACCCACATGATGCCCTAGTACTGTCTGACCCTTCCCAAGATTTATTTATCCTGAGATACTCCCATTTAACAAAGCGTGTGTTTTGATTATTCATCTTACTTCTTGCACTTTCTTCCCACTAATATACCTTAAATAGGGGCAAAGGATTTAGTCTGCAGTGTCTAACCATGTGAAAGTGCTATGTTTTTTAGGTAAAAACATTGTGTATGAAGCACAAGGTATGTAAATGTAAGCCTTTGATAAATGAGTGAGCCAAAGAATTTAATTTTATATGGATATACGTTCCTAAACAATTAGACCTATGTCTCAGAAGGGCAAATGTTTTAATTGAATCTAAAAAACTAAATCTGGGACATTGGAGAGATGGCTAAACAGTTAAGAGCATTTGCTATTCATGCAAAGGGCCGAGGTTTATTTTTCAGCATCCACGAGAAAGCTTACAACCGTCTGTAACTCCAGTTCCAGAGGTCCAATACTTTCTTAGGTATCAGGAACAGATGTAGTACAAATGCATCCATGGAGACAAACATTCATACACTCAAAGCAAAGAAAATAAGTATTTATTTTAAAAAGAAAAACATTAAAACTGGATGCAGTAAGAGCTCTCATCCACTGAACCATGTTATTTTAAGAATATGAACACAAGCTCAGATAATGATGCTCTCCTGAGGCTGATATATTATTCCACAAGTGAGGCTCTATTTGATCAACTTT